AAAGGCCCACAGCAATGGATTGGAACATGGACTGGACAAGATTTTCATCAGTGCCAGCTCCTCCAGTGACCACTAAACTGTGGCCATTCCTTCTGGGAGGGCCCTGAGAGTCTGAATCACTGGGATCTGGCTGGAATTATTCCTGGACCTGTAAACTAGCCCATGTCACAAGCCTGGGACACTCAGTTATGGCAGGAATGTGGGAGGCCCTGTGTTCACCTCGTTAGTCATCAGAACCCCAGGTTGCCATTTATCTGCTGATAGAAAGGTAAACTAAACCACCATAGATTTTATGCTTATTAACAAATCTTCACCTCACAGCGGATTGATAGAGGGATTTACTGGTGTTCTGTCATTGATGGCACTGCCATGTGTCAGATTCTGCTCCTGGGAGAAGACAAAAATCCTCAAAATGTGTCTCCACAATTCTTTTACTTCAGACATTCACAAGTCATTTCTGGCTTGGCCTAATCCCTGAGCTCTGCCTGGGTGTCAGGAGTGAGGATAACACACCCTGGGATCAGATCAATACCTCCCTGAGGCCATGGGCAAACACTCCCCATGGCCCAGGTGACAAGAAAGACCATTGATCCTGTTCTGATTGCATTGATGCAGAGTCTCTAATTCCTAATCTGCAAAAAAAGGGATGGAATTGCACCTACAGGAAAAGAAGCTGATCTTGTGACCCATTGCTGTTACCTGATCTGCATCAGTCTCATCTTTCCTTTGCTCACATTGATCTCCTTGGGTTTGTATTTCTTCTCTGGTACTTTCATGGGAAGATGAAAAGAGGGGTTGCCATGCTCTGAAACAATTAATTCCTCAAAGCCTGAGCAGGCTTTGAGATCTCTTCATCCTTGAAAGTTGCTAAACCTTGCATGAAAGTGCTTTCCAAGGTGATAAATTAACGGATGTATCCTGAGTGATGACCACAGAAATAGGCATTAGGCAATGCAAAGAACTATTATCCCACTTCATTGGAAGAGTTATCCAGGAAACCATCAAATCGTCTGCATTCCTGAGGGAAATCAGTGATTTAGAGAGGGAATCTTCCGTTCCACAAATAAGCAATAATCTAAGAGTGAGGAAAACCTACCTGGATGCATTAGCTGTGGTCATCTTTCTTCTGCTCTCACACCTCCCTTCCCTGAGCACAGGCGGAGAGAATCCAGCCAAAAGCTGACTCCAGGCTTCTCTAATGAAGCTGATATTGTAGACTCAGCACAGCCTGGATCCAGGCCAGTACATTAAGATGGAAACACCAGAGAGGCCCTGAGTGAACAGATTCCTAATGGATAAGGAGCAAGAATCTTCTTCATCTGTTTTCATCTGCTTTGACCTCGCTGCGTTATCTGAAACCACCGGCCGTGAGATAACGGCTGCTTCACCTCACAAAATTCTTCTTTCCCCCAAAGTGGCACGAGGGGCTGGGGGAACGTGTTAAAATGGCCCAAATTGTTTCAGGGACACATATTAAACACTGAAGGAAAACATCACTTTTTCCCATTAAATTTCTGCTTTGTTTAGACCAGCAGCTCTCAAGCACAGGGCAAACTGGTGAGATGAGCTGAAATTAAAATACCAGCAAGATGAAAGAAAAAATGCAGGTTTACCTTTGGTTAACAGCAGATAAATGCAACTGGTCAGAGTTTGGGTGAGATCACTGTGTTGTGAAGACAAACTGGCAGACACTGCCTGAGGCAGGGCAGAGAAAAGACAAGTATTTTGGAGCAATGTCCTTGTGCCACATGTGCGGTCACAACAACCAGGTCATTCTGTGCAGTTCCAGGCGAGTGCCTGAATTTCTCATTGTGTCTCACAGTAGCATCCATATCCATTTAGCAATGTTTTCCATTATTATAATGTATCTACACTTCTGTGTGCTTTCCATCACCTCCTGGCTGCACTGCCATCCCTGGGCACAAAGCCCACGGAGCCCAGGAAACTCCAGAGCATCCGGAACGCTCCAGCAGGGCTCTCCTGCAGCTCACACTGCCATGAGGGAGGGCAGCTGTTTTCTGCTCTCTGCTCTGGGTTCCTGTACACTTTGTAGTTGTCCTGGTCTTTGTTTGGAAGATATTTTGCCTGCCTGGCACAGCAGAGTGGGAGGCAGATGGAAGTTGCTGGGTCGGTGGCTCTGAACTCCCCCAGGTCCCCAGGGCCACTGCAGATGTCACCACAGCCACTGCAAGCACAAGTTGTGTTGCTTGTGACTCTGTCTTTTGTGAGATAAACACACAAGTTATATTTTTGGACAAGGTAGCAAAACTTTCCCAAGCTAAATCACTCCATACTTATTCCCCTGGAATGAAACTCTTCCCTAAATGCACTTTGACCTCCAGGAAGGAAGCTGGGAATGTGACTGTGAGGTACCAGAGGTCAGTGTGGTGATGAGCAGGGTATCACAGGGTATAACCCCTGCAACTTCCCAGTTTGGGGCCACACAGAGGAATGCAGCCCCAAGGAAGGCAGAGCAGCTCCGGTTTTGTCTGGGATAAACTCCCTGTGGTGCCCTCAGCTGAAGGAACTCTGCAGTGGAAGTGTTCTCTCAGTCTGGTGCACTGAGCAGTGTTCTCCTCCACAGCATTATGCTGGCTGTGTCACACCTCTGTGGAGAGGAGACCAGGGAAACCATTTCAGATATTGAAATTTGAGTTCTGGACAGCAATTAAAAAATCAGTGCTGGTGTTAGAGAAACCTGTGTGGCCACTTCAGGTGGGAAAAGAGTTTAATCTTCAGGTCTGTTTCCCTGGGGATTGACCTTATATGTTAAAAAAAAGCTGGGTGTGTAATTAAAAAGAAGTGATAAGCATCAAAGGAGTTGTTGCAGAACCCTTTTGTTTCCTTTATTGCATGATAAGGAGCAGTGGCTGTGTAACCTTGAATGTGGGCAAATAACTCATGCTGAACACATTGCCACAGAGATGGAATTTTGGCAGGGCTTTGATCTGGGTCGTTTTATTGCGGGGCTGAATCAAACGACAGGCTGATGTTAAACTCCTGCCAGGAATGCTAATGATGCCCTGATCAATGAGGGGCTGGATCACTCAGGAGGAGGGGTCCAGGGAAAAGGCAGACACGAGGTGTCTGGAATTCCAAAGGTTGGAGAGCTGGGGCTGCTGCACTGGCAGGAATTATGTTCCTTGCGTGGCTCCGAGTTTGCTTTACTCCAGGGGCCTTTGGCTGAGTGTTGGACAGGACGGTGTCAGAAAGTATATACTTAACTTTATTTTTCTTGACCTTTATGTGCAAGTAATTTTTATAGTTCCATTAACTAGTAAGATCATTTGCAAACCCCTGAGCAAAGTGTATTATGAAGAATGCCTTGGGGACCACTGTGTCCTATTATGTTGAATGTTAATAGAATGAAAAATTAATTTAAACTCTAAAGACTAGAGCAAGGCAAGACTTCCCTTTTATAGGAGAAATTCAAAATTTTATTTGCCATGATAAAACTTTAGAGTTGTACCCTAATATGACCTTTATAGGCCTGATTTGAATCAGGCAGTGCAGGAGTCTGATTATTTGCCTCCCTAAATACAATTATTTATGTCAAAGTTTCTCCTTTTAAAAAAGGAGGGGTTCTGTGACCCCCACGTGGGATTAGTCACTGGTGAGCTCACAGCTACTTGTTTAGCCAGTTAATCAACCAGAGATCAGAGAACCCACAGTTCTAATGAGTGTCTTTACCTTATTTAACTCTTTAATTGCTCATTAAACATTGTCATCTTCAGCTATGCAGGACTTCAAAACACCTAAAAACAAAGATGCAGCTCCTTATAATATATTTTTATTATTTTCCATGTCACTGAATGCTCTAGAATGAGGAGTTCCATCTAAGAGTCTTCCTTCCAAGTCTCACTGCACTTTTCCCATGGGACTGGGGCACTTCTGTCCATAGATGAGTGATCAAGTAAACTTTATTAGCCTAATTATTTATTATTCTTCCATATTTATGTTAACATAGTTAAGGTGTGATATGTCCCTGTGGAAATCAATTAAATTTAGGCAAGTAATGAGGAGGAGTTTTGTTATTTGGGAAGACCAAAGAACTAGTTCAGCATCAACCTCCTTGCTGACAAATTTTGCCTTGAGCTCAGAACCAGCCTCGTTAAAAGGATAAAAATGTTGCACATTTTACATGTAAGAATGATTTATTATTGTAAATAATAACCAGCCATTTTCCAATGATTGCAGGGAGGTGTGTATATTTTATTGGAAAATCCTGTTTTTCCAATATCCTGTCTTGAATTCCATGTTACAGCTGTAGACTGGGATGCCTCCCTGTCTTCAGAAAGCTGATCTGGAGTAAAATAAATGCACAAAAGATTAGGACAATTAGTGACTGGAGAATTAGCCATGAATATTTCATGCCCACTGCAATTCTGTCTAAACACAAGATATGAAATGAGAATAAATTGCATTTTTGACACGCAGCAAACGTGGAAAGGAAGTGACTAATTTAGAAGGATCTTGCAGTGGATTTAACGAGACAACATTCCAGTCACTGCTCACTGGATGACCTTGAAAAGACAGGACTGCACTTACAGCTACTGCATCATGTAGTAAAATTATTTACTTTCCTCAAGCTATTTTTTACTATTTGGGGTCTTAATACACTTTCAAGACTGGACTTCATTTTATCTTAGGGACAGTCAGAACTTGAGTGTGATGTAAGAAGCTGCTGTTCTGTAATATAATAAAAAGTGTCAGTTTGGGAAAAACTTTATTATGGAGTAAAACTGCTAAGCAAAGGAATTTCTGGTGTTGGAGTTTTTCCTTACAAAGGGCTGAAGTGACAAATGAATTTATTGCTGTCAAGAGACCTATATTTTATTTTGGTCACTTAGCAATAATTAAATCTTGGGAGTAATTATTCTTTTGTGCATGTGTTTGCTTTGTTTAATATTTTTAAACCAAACATTGCTCTCTAAGGCACAGTTTAGGGTATGTTTAGCATCCACTTAAGATGTTTACAATGCTGTTGTTTCCTTTAACAGCTCTGTGCACCGAGGAGTGTGTGCATGGGAGGTGTGTCTCTCCTGACACGTGTCACTGTGAACCAGGATGGGGAGGCACTGATTGCTCCAGTGGTGAGTAAACATTGCCAAAATGTGATAAAGATACTTGTTGCTGTGAAAAAACAGGCCTTATAAAGCAGTGCTCTTGGAACTTGGATGCATTAAGTCGAAAAATGAATTTTGTCTGTTATTTTGTAATAATTAATATTGTGGGGGGGTTGGAATGAGAGGATCTTTAAGGTCCCTTCCAACCCAAACCATTCTGGGATTCCATGAATATGTGATAATGTCCTTTCCTGGGATAATGACATTGGCCTTTTGTGCTTGCTTTTTACAAAGAAATGTGAAATGCAGTGGAAGATGCTCTTAATGCTTTTGGTTATTGGGAAACCAGTACAGATAATAGAGCTGTATAATGAATTTTTTTCTCTCTTAAATCTTTAATACAACACATTCTTCATGAAATACTCTGTGGAGTGTTGGAGCCCTTTGGAAAGCCCTCTCTCCTCATAGAATCCTTGTCCTGGTAAGCCAGTGGGAGTTTTGCCATTGACTTTCCAGGCAGCCCTGGATTGCCTTGGCATCCATACCTCAGATCCATACTGCAGGAGTTAGGGAAGCACCTTTTGCAGGGGAGTTAATCCACACTTTTCAATTCTTCCAGCTGGTGAAGCTGTGTTTGTTAAACTCTCTTAATTGGCAGCGGTGAGTTCAGGTCTCTGTGGTTGGTTCCTGTGGAATGGAACAGGCAGCACAAACATCTGAGCTCTGATGTAACACAGGCCCGATATCTTATTGACATAAAAGAAATAAGCTTGTTAAATGAAGTCAATTTGTGCAGCAGGCAAGTAAATAAAGGTACACGGAGAGAGATGCTGTGAAATGAAGCTGAATGGATGTTTCATTTTGTGTTTACTTCCTCCCTTTCTCCCAAATTGATTGAGATCTTGAGAAAAAAACATAATTAGCAGGCAAAGAGGTAACAGAAAAGAGATCTATAGAGGGAGGTGTTAGAAGGGAATGGGAGTTAAATGTGACAGAGGAGGAACCTCTGCAGAGGTTGAAGGCAGTGGGGCAGCTCTGGTCAGGTTTTGTCTGCAGCTCTGGGGTGTCCCTCAGGCACAGCAGGAAAGGCAGCAGGGAGGGAGGATTGTTGCCATCCCTGGAAGTGTCCAAGGCCAGGTTGGACAGGACTTGGAGCAACCTGGGCTAGTGGAAGGTGTCCCTGCCCAGGGCAGGGGGGTGGCATTGGGTGGACTTTAAGGTCCCTTCCAACCCAAACCATTCTGGGATTCTGTGATTCTAAGGATGGAACAAGGGCTGTGCTTTGGGGTTTGAAGCAACCTTTTGGGATTACCTGGCACGTAGACAAGGGAAAAATTGGGCAGCATAACTTACTAAATATTCATCTCTAACAATACATTAAAAAAAGAAAAATAGTACCTTAAATGGTGAGATGATTGTAAAGATTCTCAGGAACTCATTTTGTCTTTAACTTACAGAAGTTAAAACTAATGATAATAATAAATACTGTGGCAATATGGACACACACATACAGATGTATACATTTATACACACAGAGTCACAAACTCTCCATTCTGGCTGAAGATGAAAGGAAAGGATGAGATGTCAAGTGATCTCAGACTGGTCCCATGGGCTAAAACTACCCAGTGACTCTTATTAAATTGCCCTAATCTTGCAAGTGGAGATAAAAGAAAAAGAAGGTTTTTGCTATATTGAATATTTAGCTTTTTAAAGTAATTAGGAATATTACAGCAGTGACAATGATGGAGATAGAAACATTATTCATAACTTTTATTTCCGCGCTGGGCACCGATCCAGGGCATTTCATTTATGAGGTTTCAGCGGTGGAAAGGGAAGCGTTGGCCAATTCCTAAATTAAATATGCCCTGCTAACTTCTATAAATGATAGCCCAGGATTAGCTTAAAAACTTAAGCTTTCATTTTATTAATATAATTAGTGTGTTTGCTGGCCTATAGTGCCCATTGTCTCTCCTTCCATTTGTTATACACTGGGCAACACATGTTCCTGGCCCAGGGGCTGATCCCACAAGCACTTCCCAGTTTAATGCTCGGGGGAGTGAATGGCCTCATGGAAGTCAGCTTTTAGTGCACACTAGAACTTTGGGTGACTGGCCTCTTTCTTGTTAGGGGACTTTGTTCAAATCAAAAGGTTTCAATCAGGGGATCTCAGTGGAATGCAGTGCATTGTTACTCCAGGTATTTCCAAGGAAGAAGGGAGAAGTGGGAGCTTTGCCCATCTGAGGTTAACCAGGTTTTTCAGACCCATGATCCGTGTTTTGAGTCCTATCTTACTGTTACCCAGTCAGAATGTGGAAAACATTTTTCACTTCTGCTAGAATAATCTATCACCTACTTGGAATAATCTATGCCTACTTTCTTACTGTTACTGCTTCAGTTTTGTGCAGCTACTCTGAAGGTCACGTGTTTGCGGTGCCAGATGTGGTTTGGGATGTTCCTGCAGGGCTGTGCTCGGGATAAACCAGAGCTGTTGACTGGATGGTGCCACCCCAAACCCGTGGGGCTCTAGAACTTCCCTGTGTGGCCCTCAGTCCCGGGGATTTTGTGCAGTCACAGGCATATTGCTTTTCATGTTGGCTCTTTGAAGCGATTTCACTGGGGAAGGGATCGCCAGCCAAAACACTCCCTTTAAATTTAGAAAATCTCCCAGGAGCTGGAATGGTTTCCTGGATGATCTCTCCTGAAAGCAACGCTGAGAAGTGGAGCCTCCCTGACACTGGGGGTCGTGTGTTGTCATTTATTGGAGAAGATCTAAGGCCACTCTCTCTTGCTGAGATGCTATTTCAACAAGACCATTATAACTTTCTAAAAGTTATTTATAACTCCCTGGATTTGATGGGTGAAATTCAACCATAAGCAGAGCTCCAGCACAAGGTCCAAGTGTCACTTCAGAACCAGAAGTATGTTTTTATTATTTCGGTGTGCCTGTGACAGGAGAGGGTCTGGATCGTGACCCTGAGCCCTGATTTCCCCCGGGGAGGCAAGGCTTTGGTGTTAATGCGGTTTCCCAGCGTTATCATTCTCCCCTGGCTAAAATATTCTCAGTTAAATGTTTGGAATAGCTACAGCTACAGCCTGTAGCCATGCAAACAATTTAATCATCTTGCTCAGCCTTGGTGTCGTGCTTTCCTAGAGCTCAGCCTGTAAGACAACAGTCACCAAACTCGCTTTTCGGTGCAGCTTTCCAGTGGCTGCTCACGGTACATGTTAGAGTTCATCTGTTGTCAAGGTTAAAATAACTTCAGATGAATTGCTAAACAATTACAAAAACCCCAGTGCCATATTCAGCTCTGCATGTCTCTGTACCTGTGTTTTACTGCATGCTGTTGTACATCTGTCCATGCCCACAGGCCTAGCCTTCATTTCATGCTATAAAGCTGCAATATATTAAGGCTTGATTACCATAACAATAAAAAGAGAAGTAATGAGGTATTAACTAAAGAAGCTCTTGAATGAAATGTTTTCAGCGTTTTAATGATGCCAAAAACTGAAAGGAAAAGTCTTTAAAAAAAAAACAACCATACCTTTCCCTTGCCTTTTAACTTGTTTTGTTAAAACCATACCTGTTTTGTCCATGCAGTCTGCACTGTTGTTTTGTTTAAATACAAAGCAAAATTGCAAATGCTCTGTGTGAACTTACCTGCTCACCTGTCCAATTATTTCAAAGCAATTAACTTCAAACAGTTGAAGTTCTGGTAGGAATATAATTGCCTGTTGGTGGTTACCTGGCCTCTTCTGGGCCTTGCTAACAGCCATCTGTATTTGCAGGCCTTTAGGCCCCAATCCAGCAAGGATTTTCTGCTTATCCTTAACTTAATAAATGATTAGAACTTTTCATCTGCTCTAGATTAAGTGTTTAGGACATTGTTGAGTAAATTTTGAAGAAACAGCTAAAAAAGACCTCAATGAAATCTAAATAAGCCTCTCACAGAATTCATCAGACCTGTGAGGAATAAAGTGGTCTTTCTTTCAGGATGTTAATCAGGCAATATATTTGAAGGATATTTTGACTCTCATGAGCGTTTTTCGTTGTGAGGAAGATCACAGAAATCTTTCTGCTTAACAGAAGGTTCACAGAACAAGGGGCAACAGGTAGGAAAAAGAAAGTTCAGAGCAAGAGCCCTGAACTAAAAGGAAGAAGCCTCCAAAAATTGTGTGTACCAGGTTGAGAAATGTCAAAATGAACAAACACAGAGGTTGTAATGCAAAAATGAAGTGGTTTTCGAAGTGTTTGCTTTGCTAATAGTTTTGGGGAGAAAATATAGTACTTGCCCAAAGTGTAATTAAAGAGCTGCTGTCACAATAATGCCAAGCCATCGTTCTTGTTGCTGTGTCACCCAGGGCAGAGGGATGGTGGTGTTGCTGTCTGGAATAGCCTGGATTCATATGGATAACATAGTTTTTCTCTTAAAGGATGTTTTGTACAAACGGGAGCAAGAAGCTATTTCATCTTTATCTCTTTGTCAAAAATAGCCAAGGTCATCCCAACAGGCAGGTGTAACATCCCAGCAGGATCACTGGTGAGGGCCCAGCCCTGGAGCAGCTGGATGCTGCAGCCCTGGAGCAGCTGGATGCTGCAGCCCTGAGCCTCGTGATGAATGAGAGCGGCGGGGCCGGGGCTCAGACTGAAGGGGCTGTTTGACAAGCTGTGCAAAGCAACAGCACAGCTCCCAGGAGGAAATGGAGTGGTTTAAAGGGAGGCTGTGGTGCTTTCCAGGCTTGATTTTTGGCATCCATGTTCTCAAAATGCTTTGAACTATTTTTGGAGAAATGAAGTTCAAAGGAAAGAGTCCTGAGTTTTGAGTACAGGCTCAAACAAAATTCAGCCTAATGTGAGAGACTGATCTGCCAGACTCATTACTTGGTTTTTCATCCTCAGGTTTTTAGGATAGGATTGGCTGGGAAACCACCAGTGTCCACCAAAGAGGGGCAAAGGTACAAGACCTCAGCTGTTCTAAACTGTTAGTGGGCCACAGGGACATCTGTTCATGGTCCTTACCCGGGAATTT